TGCCTCTGTCGCCCCACCAATAGCCCACGCCAGCGCTCAGCGGCTGGCAGATGCCAACAGTGCAGCACACACAGACAATGTTGGGCGCACAGTTCATGATGATGCCGACAACGCTGCGCGCACAGATCCTGATGCCTTGCCTGCGGCCAGCCGCAGGAAGACTCTAAATAGTGTTGTGCGCTCCGACAGCACTGCGTGCGCAGACCCTAATGCGAAAGACAAAGTTGCTGCCAACAGACCTGTCTCTACTTTGTAGAAAACTAAGTCTTTTTCATTGTAAATATAGAGTAGTTTTATTTTATGTACTTCCATTATGTTTATCTAGCTTATTTAGGTTAAGTCTTGTAAATCTAGTTTATTTTTTTAAGCACTATTAGGTGGGATCAAGCAATCAAACTTTCTAGCAAGCAATATTTCTTTGTACTGGTGTCTCTCCCCATCGATACCGCGTAGCCTTTTGTAATATTTTTCATTAATGCAATCAAACTTTCATTCACAATTCTCATTTTCATTTCTGCAATTGCTCTTGACATTGGTTTTACCGTACGACACTAACAATCTCGCCTAGCGAACGGAGGGGACCTAAGTCGGCGGACAGTAGTGGCACTGACATCAGCCTTACGTCGCCCTTCCAAGAAATCTCAGGAAGGCGCCGCGTAACAGTTGGTATCAAAGCCTAGGCTCGATATCGGACGAGGGAACACATTGCCATTACCACCATTTCTAACCATGATAAATCATGGGGACCACATTGCGGCCCTTGAAGAGACGGTTGACGTATTACGGCCCACCGTGGATACGATGCCTGAACTTAGAACCAGCCTAGTGTAAAGGTTGGATGACCTGGACAACAGGATGTTCCAGGTCAAAGTTGACATAGAAAACATCGGTCTTGACTCTAAAGGAAAGCGACAAATGGCAGCCACAGAGGCAGCCGAAATTTATGGCAAATTCGAGGACCTCCAACAGGAGTGCACCGAGGATTTAGCTCATAGAGAATAAGAGGCAGACATGGTGACTACCATGCATCAAACCATAGACAACCTGACTGGCCAACTCAATGTTGTTAATGCTGCTCTACAAACCTACTTCGAGGAGGCGAAAACCAGATTAGAGGTGTTGTGCCCCTGTGCTAGAAAAGCTGAAAATTCCAGAGCCAAAGCCATACGACAGAGCTCGGGATGCTAAAGAAGTGGAAAATTTCATCTTCGACATCGAACAATACTTCGATGTCGTGGGCGAGTTAGAAGAAGCCAAAAAGGTAGCAACTGTTGCCATATATCTTCAGGGTGATGCTAAACTCTAGTGGCGTGTAAAATACGATGCCATCAAGGCCGGGGAAGATACTCTCAAGACATGGGAAGAACGGAAGGCAGCCATATGCCTGTAGTTCTTCCCCGAAAACGTGGAGTACAATGCACGGAGAAAGCTACGGGAGCTCCGCCAGACAAGGTCAGTGCAGGAATTCTTCGTGCTCATGCTAAACATACGGGATATGGGTGACAAAGACAAACTCTTCACATTCCTAGAAGATTTGAAACCTCATGCCCGTATGGAGCTGTAAAGACAAAGGGTAAATAGCCTCCCCAAGGCGATCCAAGCTGCTCAATGCCTAGGGGATTATCATATGGAAACTCAGAAGGATAGGCCTCAACCGCCTGTCCGAGGGGGTTACAATGGGAGCTAGCCTAGCAATGGTGACCATAGCAGAAGTGGGGGAGATCGAAGTGCAACCAGATCCAAGACTCTTTCCTTAAGTAGCAACAGCTCTGCATCCGTCAACAACAATCAGGGGAGGAACCCCCCTTCAGAATGTCGTCATTGTGGTGGGCAACATTGGAACAATGAATGCACACAGATATAGATCAACGCTCATCATACTATTAAGGATGAGTCAGATAATGACTCAGACGAAGCAGAACAAGTAGGTGTCTTCAATGCAATTGTTGGTTCTGTCCCCGGTACCTTAGCTGGAACCAGTGCTGGTATCCCTAAGAAGGACCCATGCCCAATTGCCAAGAAAGGAAAAAAGAAGGCGGATGAGAGGCCTCCTCCTACCTAAGAGAGGACCTTAATGTTCGTCGAAATAAAAGTCAATGGCAAACCCATTCGGGAAATGATAGACACAGGTGCTACCTACAACTACTTAGCCTCGACTCAGGTGAAATGCCTTGGTCTAGTTGTACAAAAGAGTAAGGGTCATGTCAAGGCTATCAACTCACCACCCCAACCAGTGGGTGGAATAGCCAAAGAAGTGTCCATGAAGCTTGGACCTTATGAAGGAAGATTCAACCTACACGTCGCAATCATAGATGACTTCAAACTCATAGTGGGATTGGAATTCCTGAGGCAAACCAATACCATACTCGTACCATATGCCAACATGCTCCTGATGATGGGAAAAGACGGGGCCAAGCCCCGCATCATATAGTGCATGCCTATAAAGATGGCCGCTGAAAATATCTCGGCCATGCAGTTGAAGAAGGGAGTCAAAAGACATGAACATATGGTTCCGACTACCCTTTGCAACAAGAATCAGAAGTCATATCATCGGCCTTAGATGACTGATGACGCTCCTCAATGTGTGAAGACTCATCAAGCAAACCAAAAGGACAAGTCGAACCGCTCATCACGAACGGAACTCTTAGAGCCACTACATTCCCCAGAAAGACCTTGGGAAAGTGTTTCCCTTAACTTCATCACAGGATTGCCCAAAGTCGGAACCCTTGCATCCATCTTGGTTGTAAAAGATCGGTTTTCCAATTATGCAACCTTCATAGCATCCTCACAAAATATATCAGCAGAAGATACAACTCGACTCTTCTTCTCACACATTGTCAAATATCGAGGCCTGCCCAAAGACATCGTTAGTGGTCGCGGCTCACGCTTCACTAGCAACTTCTGGACACATTTTTAAGTGATTCAGGTCAAAATTAAGTCACAACTCAAACTTCCATCCACCATCAGATGACCAGACCGGATGGTTCTATGACATGCTGAAGGAATATCTCTGTCACTTTGCAACCGGATCACAACAGCATTGGGTGTAGCTTTTGGATGTTGCTCAACTGTGTTTCAATTCTCAAAAGAGCCCTAATACAAACAAAAGCGCTTTTGAAATTATTACCGGACAACAACCGCTTCTCCCGCAAATGGTGAATGCATCAACCATGCCAAAATCTCCTCGAGCTGCCAACTTCTCGAGGGAATAGGAGCGCAATTTGGAGATAGTGCGTAGCTATCTCGTCAAAGCCCAAGAGCGAGCGACAAGGTTTGCTGATCAAAATCTTTACTTTGTCCAACACCAAGCAGAAGACAAAGTGATGATAAACATCCCAAGGCGGTACTTGTTCGTAGAGAGGACCCACGACCCTCGCCTACTGCAAAAACACATTGGGCCCTTGTCCACTAAAAGACGCATTGGGAAAACCACATATCAGGTGAACATCCCAACCTGGTGGAAGATCCATCCAGTCTTCCATGTCAGTCTCCTGAGATCTCTTCGGAAAGACATGGAGCATCATTCACAAAGCCAACTCACAAGAAAGAGGGGAATAGACCTCACAACCAATAAAAGCCTGATCAATCATCATCTTGCAGGTAAGGCTCCGAGGACGTCGCCAACTCAGGTGGGGGAGAATGTCATGGGCGGCTTTCCAGCCATGCCCTATGAATCCTTGGAAGCACCCCAGGGCATCCCAGCAAGCCTCCTAACACCCAGCACCGTGGTCGGCCCCGTGGTCTCGACAGCGCCAAGTGACTAGTGCGCATGTGCCTCTGTCGCCCCACCGATAACCCACACTAGTGCCCAATGGCTGGCAGATGCCAACAGTGTCGCATGCACAGACAATGCAGGGCGTACAGTTCATAATGATGCCAACAACGTCGCGCGCGCAGATCCTGTCCAAATAGTGCAACGCGCACCGGCATCACCACGCGTGCAGACCCTGATGCGAAAGACAAAGTTGCTGCCAACGGACCTGTCTCTACTTTGTAGAAAACTAAGTCCTTTTCATTGTAAATATAGAGTAATTTTATTTCATGTACTTCCATTATGTTTCTCTAGCTTATTTAGGTTAAGTCTTGTAACTTTAGTTTATTTTTTTAAGCACTATTAGGGGGATCAAGTAATCAAACTTTCTAACAAGCAAACATTTCTCTGTACTGGTGTCTCTTCCCCTCGACACCGCATAGCCTTTTATAGTAGCTTTCATTAATGCAATCAAGCTTTCATTCTCAATTCTCATTTTCGTTTCCGCAATTTCTCTTGACATTGGTTTTCCCGTACGGCACTGACAATCTCGTCTAGCGTACGGATGGGACCTCAATTGATAGACAACAGCCGCACTGACATTGGTTGCTTAGCCTTACGTCGCCGTGTAACAGTAACTATGTGATGAATCTTAATTACATATATTCATCATTTTATCATTAGAAGTGTGTTTGGTATCGAGGAAAATAATATTTTTTAATCTTTTCATACTTGGGTGGCTTAAATGCTTGAAAAACTATTTTACGCGTGAACTTATTTTTCTGTAACTCATAAAAAATTACTTTCCTTATCGAGAGTAGTAAAAATATTTTTTAAAACTCTGTTAGCCTTTTAACAGCCCCACCTTTAGCCCCAAATCTACCCTCACCACCCCAGTTCAGCCAACGCACTCCCCAACCCAAACCGGCCCCCAATCGTGCCTCATCTTTCGCCTCACCCATCCCCTTCTTCGCTCCCTCCTCCCTCCCTGGCCACCCCAAATCAATCTGTGCCAACCCCCCGCACTATAGTTCCCCCAACCTTAAGATTATTCTGTCTTCCATTTCTAAAATAAAGCCGATATCACAGTTCTGTGTGAGTTTTACTGGTTAATATATGTTTTATTTGCCTCCTACTTGTTAGTTGCTTGCAGTTGTGATAGGTATATCATTTTGCACCTGATGCATAGAATCAATTTTCTGACTAATTATAACAACCTTTCTCTGTCGTGCATTAACATAAAAGGTTAGTGGTGATAGGAAATTATGGAACCAACCTTTGTGGCAATATACAAGTAATTTGGGTAAAATTGATTGAACTGCTGGAAATCTGTCGTTCTAACTTACTCTGGTGTTATGTTCACAACAACAACAACAAAAAAAAACCATTTTAGTCTCACAAGCCTAGTCTGGAAGGGCCGAGTGTACGCAAATCTTACCCTGCTTTAATGCTTTAAAAAGGCAGAGAGGTTATTTCCGGCAGACAGTGTTATGTTCAGAATGAGTCATATATATTGGGTAATGTCAAAATAGTTTGGAAGGACGAACTATGTTATGGGTGGCACCCTCTTTGCTTAAGGTAGAAAAGAAAAGGACAGCCCAGTGCACTAAACTCCTGTTGTGCAGAGGGTTTGTGGTGGGCTGGACCACATTGGATCTTATGAAAATAGTTGTTTCGTGGCTTGACGTGACCCCCAACTTTACTGGGTATTGATTTGGCGGTCTTTCTCAGTATTTTAACCATGATAATTATGTGTTTTGTTTCTATTTGTACCATTCGTTTGTTTTGGACGGGTTTGTTTTGCATCTTCTTCTCTGGAATTAACTCAATGTTTCTAATTTTCAGATGATAACTCATTTTCAAAAAGTTCCAGATGATAAGGTCTAGGGTGTGATGAGGTGGAACAAAGATGTGAGCCGTTGCTTGTTCTTTTTGGTCAGGCGCTACTCTAGATCGGTGGGCCATTCTGCAATAGCAAATCGTCGTCAACCTGTGATTCGAGTGTCAAACAGTATAACACATTTGGGCCGTCCAAAGGAGGGTGCAAAGCCTAGTCAGCTATTGTCTTTGCCCCCATTTCCTGGTCATCCTTTGCCGGGAAAGAAAGCGGCCACCAGTCCTGACCAACCATCTCGTCATGTTACTGCCATTAGCTGGATCAAATACTATTTTGATGAGATACTAGGCTCTGTCATCCAATCCCATTTTAATAAGGGTCTCGTAAGTATTCTTGTATCTTTCCTTTTCCTATGTGAGTTTATCGTATTTTTTCACTGTCTTTAGTAAATTACATTCCTCTTCTGGGGATTCGTTGTACAACTAGTACATAGACTATATCTATGGCTAAATACTAAACCTTGGAGACCAGGGTTTAGATCCCAACAGAGACAAGAAGCACTAGGTGATTTTTTACCGTATGTCTAACTTTTGGTGGGTAGAGTTATCTGATATCTGTATTGGTGGGAGGTAGAAGGTATCCGATGGAATTGGCGAGGTGCGCACAAGCTAGCTTGAACACCACCGTTATCAATAATATTAGCACAGTGCTTGTGACGAAGTGCTGTAGAGAAACATAAATATGCAAGCCATTGAGGACAGTTTTATGGATAACCAACGACAAATTCATTTGAACATGGATAAATTACATAATATTCATCATCCAATAGTATGTTGACTTGTAATTTGTTGTTCTTAGTCTTTATATGTGTTCATGGTTAGTTCAGACTTCAGACATAATATTGAATTATGTCTAACGACAACTTCAAGAAGAGATATTTTGTTTCATAAGGTACATAAAATCTGTTGGTTATAAAAAAAAGTAGATAAAATCTGTTAAATGTGTGTTTGTTGACTTGTTCTGCTCCTCCTCTTCTCCTGGGTTTAGAATATGACCTTTATCTTACCCTTTTGAAGGGCTTATGGCTATACTGTCTTTATTTTCTTGCAGTGAATATGAATATCACGACAGTTATCTTATCTTTCTTGATTTACAGGTTCAGTTAGAGTTTAATGAGTCATCTACAAGCAAGGAAGGACAAACTAGATTGCTGAGAAAGGTAGTGATGCTTATATGATTCTCGCAGTATAAGCTTCATTTTGGATATTGAAAGATGCAAGCATCAAGATCTGAGGGGCTCCTTCTTTTTGTTTTTGGACACCATGTTACATTCCCAATGCATTCCCCTATTTTACAATTGCACAGTGAATTTACAGATTAAGCATTCTGAGGTCATGGAAGTTGGTGCAAGAGTTTATGTACCCATATCTGTTGCTGAAACAAAAATCTCAAAACGATATGATGTTATACCTAGTGGCACTTTGTACCCCAATGCTGATGAGATAGCATACTTGCAAAGGCTTGTATTTTACAAGGTATGTGTTTGTTTATCTGTTTGCTTTTCTGCAAATTCTACATTTGTTTTCCACTATCTGTAGAGGCTAGAGATGATACAACCAGTGTGGTTATTTTTGCTGCTTCTTATGTTCATTTCACAAAATGATTTGGTGGAACTTGCAAAGGTTATGCTTGTTTCCTGTAATTAACGAATTGTTCAAACTGTAGGACCCTGCCATAATTGTGCTAAACAAGCCCCCCAAACTGCCTGTGAAGGTTAGATTCTAATGTGTTCTTTGTTGGGCAATCTTGACTACCACATTTTTCAGCCTTTTGTCTTCATTTCTAATTATTAGAGCGACTTCAGGGAAACCTTCCCGTGCATAATAGCATGGATGCCTTGGCAGCTGCAGCATTGTCCTATGAATATGACGAGGGTCCTAGGCTGGTAAGTTAGCATTGCTGAAGTGCTATTAATCAAACTTTGAAGATCTATTTACTTCTAATTTTCCTGAAGATATCTTCTAGTAGTCAAAAAAGGGGAGTTCTTTTTTTGTTGGCAAAGAAGCAATTGTTGGGGTTGGAGATTTACGATGTTGATGTTAATTTGGAATTAAGTTCAGCTTTGATGATGATTGCATATATTATCAAGGTACATCGTCTTGATAGAGAGAGCAGTGGCCTTCATTTAATGGGAAGAACAGAAGAAAGTATCTCCCACCTTCATTTGTTGTTCAGCAGCACAAAAAGGTCCAAGTCCCTGTCTAAGGTACTTAGTCTGCAACTGCATTTTCCATTTGTCTATACTTCATTTCCTTCTTCAAGGGAGAAAGGATTGGTATTTTGTTGTGGGGGTGAGAATTCTCTTTTGACTTCATTGGTTGAGTAGGAATTTTTCTGTGATGCATAAAGCTCTGATTGGCATTCAGGCATGGAATGATGCATGTGGATCAACGTATCAGAGGTATTGGGCGTTGGTAATAGGTTCCCCCAAGGAGAAGGAAGGCATAATCTCTGCACCACTTACAAAGGTTTTCCATTTGCCTTGCTTACATTTGCAGGCTTCGGTCAAGTAGCATGAGTATTCATTGTGCTTGTTTTCATTGATTGCAGGTGCTTCTTGATGATGGTAGAACTGAGAGAGTCATGTTGGCTCAGCACTCAGGATTAGAAGCTTCTGAGGAGGCTATTACAGAATATCGGCTGCTTGGTCCAATGATCAATGGATGCTCATGGATTGAGTTGCGCCCTCATACAAGTAGAAAACATCAGGTTCCTTTTACCTTTTTCTTTTACTATTTATGATCCTTGTAAAGGACAGTTCATCTTCTAAATTTTGGAGAGATGTGTATAGGTTTTTTAGTTGTGATCCCTGTGAAAAGCAGTGATTCTTCTAGGTTGCGGTGCTCTAAGAGATGCATAGTGTTTTTTTTTAAAATTGTAATCCCAAAATTAGGACCATTACTAGGTCCAATTAGAAAACTTGCTTGATGAACCCAAAATGAGAACGAGGGGAACTGATGAAGTTGCTTCCATAAAGCAGTATTATGATTGAGAAATATCTCTTGTATGTGGGTCTTTTCACTATTATCAGCATCTAAACTAGTGAGGTTGGCCCATTACAAACGACAGCAGTAAGCGAGTAGAAAGCTGCTTGACTACTGAATTTGTATGCCTATCTTTTCTTGGATGCCCAAACTCAAATGAATTTCGTGGGTAAATCACACTTTAAGAGAAGGCCATATTTTTTTTATATTCTGATATTTAGTTGTTGGTAAGGGAGGGGAATAGGAAAATGATCTTGCTTCCTGTTACTTTGCAGCTTCGAGTCCATTGTGCTGAAGCCCTTGGAACTCCAATTGTGGGTGACTACAAGTACGGTTGGTTTGTCCATCGGAAATGGAAGCAGATGCCAAGAGTAGATGTTGAGCCGACAACAGGGAAACCCTACAGATTAAAGAGGCCGGAAGGTTTGGATGTTCAGAAAGGAAGTGTCTTATCTAAGGTTCCTTTATTACATCTGCATTGTAGAGAGCTTGTGCTCCCAAACATTGCCAAGTTTATTGAGCTTCACAGTCGAAAAACAAGAACTCGCTGTTTAAATGCAGATAATAGCTCAAAACCAGATCTCCTTCGGTTTGTAGCACCAATGCCATCTCATATGAAAATTAGTTGGAAGCTTATGTCCTCTTACTTGATATGAAAATAACAAGAATCCCTTGGTTGTTTCCTCATGCTTTGCTCTCTCAATTGTCTATGATCTATCATACATAAAGCATTTTTAGTTTCTCATCCAAGTAACTCCTAAAATATTTTTTTTGTGTCTCATCTTGTGAATACATTTCCTGAACAGAACGGTAGGTTTTTGATTCATACTGGAAACAATCTCTCCACCTACATAAGGTAGGGTAAGGTTGCCTATATATTACTCTCCCGAGATCCCATTTGTGGAATTACACTGAGTTTATTGGTTTATTGTTGTTGCTGTTAAAGCGACATGAGCATTGATGTCCTGATGATGTACACCTCTGCTTTGGTCTTTTAACTTTCACCAAAGATAGCTTTTGTCTTTCATGAAGAAAGGTTTTTGATCGCTTAATAGAAAAAAGGAAAAAGGAAAAAGTTGTAAAGTAATTCTGTTTTCAAAATTGGTAATGATTCCAAACTAGTTGTACCACTTACATTTGGATGGAAGTTATGGCACTAACAATGAATCTTTTTCGAATAAGCACTTTTTTGTTGTTGCTAGCAAGCAGGTTTTTATAAGAAAATATAAGCAAAAAAGTTAAGTCCTTTGTAGATAATGCTGCTTGGTGGGCCCGGCCCGGACCGGACCAGACCGGGTCTGCGGTCCTAACGGGTCTGGTGGGCCGGGCCTGGTGGTCCTGAGAAGCCCGTGACGGGCCGGTCTTCATAGGTTAGCCCACGAGCCCG